TTTGAGGTGATAATTAAGAATGAAGTACGTGGATCCCAAACTGAAGGATGCTGCTGGCTACCCTAATTGCATGTTAAAGATGAACGCAAAACTGAAGGCGAAGGGTGTCTTCAATGCAGAGGATGACCGTGAACGAGAGATTTCCTACTCCATCATAGTCCAGAGTATTGATGATATCTGCGTTGGCCCTACCCGTAACACCGATGATCTTGCAGTTGTCTTAGCGCAGACACGCTACCGCCATGAATAACTAATGTTCTGAACCGAAAGCTGAACTTTATGAACATGAAAGATGGAGAGAACGTCGCTGAACTCGTTGATCGAATTGAGATTCTATTTGGCCAGCTGGCGGATCAAGGCGATGAGCTGACGGATACCCGGAAGCGTATATCCTTTTTGAAGGCTCTGCAACGCCAGTTCATGCCGCTGAAGGTTGAATTGGATACGAAGATAGCTAAAAGGAACCCGCTATTGCGTTCGAAACTGGACATGCGCTATATGATGGTGAGAATGAGGAGGATGTCGGCCTGTATGCTAACGGACGTTACCAATCTGATGGTAGGAAACAGGCTCAAAGAGTGCCAAGAGGTGATTTCGGTAGTGGAGATCGCAAGGACACACAAGGGCTATTTGTCGTGGTAAGACGGTCTGCTTGAGTTGCAAGAAACCTGGCCATATGAAGTGAGATTGTCCTGACGCTACCGATAATAAGGATGAGGAGGCGTACTTCGGTTTCGGACTTGTTTGTTGTTAGTGAAGGCGACGCGCAGGGCTCAATCAGTGATCCTGCTGATCTTTCTGACTTTGGCGAGAAGCTCTTTTCAAGCTATTCTGCAACCTTCTATTGGGATGATTCCATCAGTCCCGCCAGTGATGATTATTTACCAAGATTCTTCTGATTTTGAGCACGAATATGATGGTGATTCTGAAAAGGACCATGGTTCACGTGACCCCGTGCACCTCGATCGTTATCTGATACCCCATTATTGAATCTGTATTCCCTGGGCTCTATCACATAATGCGTTTGATTCTTTGGCATTCGATTGGGGTGGTGATAGTGAGGAATCGGTGGAAGATAGAGATGGTATGCCTGAGCTAAGTGAGGATTCAGCGGAAGTTAGTATGGCCCACCCGACCTACTGTGTGATTCTTCATCGGGCAGTGAAGACGAGTTTGGTCTATCAGCTACGGTAGACAATATTTGTGACAATGATGATGATGAACTTTTCGCCGAAGATAACCTGATTTCGGATGGTAGTGTCACTACAAATGGCGTGGAAAACGTTAATAGTAAAGTTCTAATGTAGGAAATTCTTCTGATTTTGAGAACGAACATGATGGTGATTCTGAAGAGGACCATGGTTCACGTGACCCCGTGCACCTCGATCGTTATCTGATACCCCATTATCGAATCTGTATTCCCTGGGCTCTATCACATAATGCGTTTGATTCTTTGGCATTCGATTGGGGTGGTGATAGTGAGGAATCGGCGGAGGATAGAGATGGTTTGCCTGAGCTAAGTGAGGATTCAGCGGAAGTTAGTATGGCCCACCCGGCCTACTGTGTGATTCTTCATCGGGCAGTGAAGACGAGTTTGGTCTATCAGCTACGGTAGACAATATTTGTGACAGTGATGATGATGAACTTTTCGCCGAAGATAACCTGATTTCGGATGTTAGTGTCACTACAATTGGCGTGGAAAACTTTATTAGTATAGTTCTAATGTAGGAAATACTTGCAGTGGGTGATCTGATCTTATCCACTAACGAGCTTGTGGTTGATACTGGTGCTAGCAAGCACGTTGTAGTGACGGGGGGACATTATCTGCAGTGAATCTTTCGAAAAAAACGTTTGATTGGTTTGGGCAACAGAAAGCTCTTTGCAAAGGGCGAAAGGGAACTGCGTGCTTGTGCCAAAACTGGACTAGCACTATCGATACCAGAGGCAGGCGTCCGACTTTAGTCTGGAAGACAGCTCGTCAGGAACGGTTAGGTTGCTTCGTTCAAACTCGACCAACATACTCTGACTAATTCAAAAGGCGAGCACGTGACGGCAATGGTCTGACAATAATTATCACCGAGTGCAATGTCTACTGATGAAGAACGGGCCTTTGTGACACCACTTGGGCATATAAGCTTGGAATTGATGAAATAGATCATGGCTTGCACAGGTATAGAGAAAGCTACCAAATATCCGGGTGAGAAGCTCTCATTTTGTAAAGCTTGCGTTTAAGGTAAGATGATACGGGCCAGGATTAAGCGCAAGTCCTAGTCCAAAGGCACTCGCAAGTTTGTGGTCCTGGAGATACCGGGATCTAAATTGTACGTAGACATTTTTGAGACCTCCAAGACGCCATCACTTAATGGCAAACTATATGGTCTTCATATGCTCTGATGGTTCAGATCGACACTGGTGTTTGGAATTGAAGCATAAGGCAGATGCTACGGAGTCGATGTGTCACCTGATAGATACTGAATTTGCCATTCTGAAGCGATTCCCAAAGAAGGCTCACAGTGATAGAGGCGGTGAATTTATTGGTGAAACTTGGAAGTCTATTCTAACAGCAAGAGGTATAAAACAGAGCTTGACCGCCGCGCAAACACCGGAGCATAATGAATGATTTGAGCGTGCACATCGGACTGTGGTCGAGATGGCCTGAATCCTTCTACTTCAAGCAGGATTAGGTGACGAGTTTTGGCTTGAAGCGATTACCTATGCGTTTTGGTTAGTGAATATCATGCCACAACGAGGTGGCGCTAAGTCACGAGCGGAAGTGTGGTCAGGTGTCAAACCTGACTTGACGCAGGTGATACCTTTTGGTAAGAAGGTATACTTCTTGACAGGTGCGAAGAACAAAAAGCTTGCGAAGAGGGTCAGGAAAGGATATCGCTTGGGCCTAGTCTAAACACGATAAAAGGTAGTATGCGCGTTTATAACTTGGCGACAAGCGGGTTGCCAACAGCTGGTATTATACGATTGATCCTGTTGTAGCCAACGATAAGCCCCGGGACGAGAGCACTGGTCCGGAGTACGATGGGGATACGATGATCATAAAACAAGAACCATCGGATGAATCTGCCGCAACAACGAGTGATGATGCGATGTATTTATTTCATCGGGAGACAGAAGTTGATGACGATGAAGCCAGTTCCGGGCTTGATGAGTCAGACGCTAACGATAACATGGGTCTTGACGAACAACCTGTAGGGGTAAGAGCGCGTATGCATCACCATCAGAAACGGTATTTGGCGGATAAGCAGACACTAACCAAAGGTGGTAGACACTTGAAATCACGAAGCGATAGACGATGCGATCGGGAAGACGATATGGTGTCCCCACGTGCCAAGTCTAAAGTTCCGGCAGATCTAGACTCTGAGGAAGCGGGAGCGACAGACAAGCTACACACCGCCCCAACCAGCTTCTAAGGCCCAGAGAAATCGTAAACGCGGTAGTGACAAGCCACTAATTATAACTTTTTAACTGCAGATGAAGTAGCCTTCAAGGACATATCTGATTCAGCCGATGAGAAACAAATTCGCGAAGCAATTAGGGATGAATCGCGCTCAATGTTGAAGTGGTGTGGATCCTTAGGCAGTGCCGTACAGCCCAGCCCGTACACAACCGTTTGGCATGATTAAAATAGTATCATTATACGATATAAGGCCCGTTTGTGTGCGAAAGGGTGGTTCGCACATCGTTATGGTCGGGATTATATGGAAACATCCTCACCGATCATTACAAACGAAACAGTGCGTGCGTGCTTGGCCATTGCTGCGGCTGAGAAACTGTATATTCTGCGATTCAATTTGAAGACAGCGTTTCTACATGGCACTCTGGAAGATTTTGAAGTCCCTGCTGATTTCGTACAGTTGGTAGGCGATTTGCTCAGCGATGAAGAACGTATGTTGACCAAGGAAGGTGCTATCTGTGCATTGATGAAGAGTATCTATGGTTTAAAGCAAGCCTGGCTGTGCTGGTTTGTACGTTTTCGAGATTTTCTGGTGAACGTTATCGGTCTCAGACCAAGTCTCACGGACCCCTGCCTATTCATTGGGAAAGGTTTCTTCCTGGTCCTTTATGGGGATGATGGTTTGATATTTACAACTTTACATCAAATGGGGGAGGAGATTCTAGCAAGGATCAAATCAGAGTTCGACGATACGTCGATAGGTACGCCACGTTGCTTCCCAAGCTGGAAAAACGATGTGTCAGCGGAGTCTTCATCTCACAGCCAGTGTAGATCGAAAAGATGGCACAGAAGCTCGGCCCGTTGAAGCAAGTTAGCACGCCGATGAGCACATAGTATGGTGTTAATTAAGCCGGCACTATAATCGAAAATTCCGAATACCGCAGCATTATCGGATCTTTGATGTTCATATCTGTCGGCACGAGCCCCGACATAGCTTTTGCGACAAGCTCCTTGAGTAAGTATTTAGATCAACATACAATGGCGAGGGGGCCCGCCGCGACGAGGAACTTGTATGGCTACTTGGAAGCGGCTAATGATTGGTGGATATTCTACGAGGCGAAAGGACATTTGAAGCCCCATGTGTATGCCGATGAGATTAAATCGCGACCAGGCCGTTTGTTTGTTTTTTAGCGAATGCTCCCGTGTATTGAGGAGCGCGTCGTCAAAGTCTCATCATATTGGGTACTCCCGAATCCGAGTATGTCAGTCTCGCCGAATGCTGTCGTGATATCAATACAGAACTGAATTGTTATCTGAAATGGGATTAACAGTCAGATTGCCAATTGTGTGCTATGAAGACAACCAGACTGCTAAGAAGATGGCGTAGGAGCTTACCACGAAGCGCAATAAGCACATAGATATTAAGTATCACTTCATAAGAGAGCTATGCGCAAAGAAAACCATTGTCCTCGAGGACTGCCAGTCATTATCCTCCTGGACCTCTCAACTGCGGCAGTCTTGGGTTGTGTTCAGTCTCCACCTTCTTGACATGAGCGTTTACCCTAAAGGCATTGACAGGTTGTTGTGACATAATAGATACCCTGCTTGGTTGTTGCATGTGTACATATTTTGATTGTATCCAATTCGCATATCGCTGATGTTTCATTGTAGTGTCAGTATGATCAAATTCTGCTTTCAATCTTATCTGCAAACTGTATGCTAGATTTGTAATGTTATGCGCAGAATTGGCGAACTGCTGGTGTCGGTCTCTAAATCGAATTATTTCCATATCCTTCTCGCCTCGATTTGCATATCTGTTGCTGAATCTCAGAGTTGTCTCTAGAATCACAGCCAGGTCCTTAATTTTGAAAATTACCCCGATCAAAAATTCTTCCTCGACCACGACAACGTCCTCGGCCTCTGACTCCCCCTAGGCCTTAGTAGCTGAGGTCCTGACTGAAATTTGGCAATGTGTACATAATTTTTGCACCTGTGAAACATAAGATCAGTATGGGCGGAAAAGCAGCATCCGATGTCGATGATGCGGTGGTATTAAGTATCCGGACTTCGATTTCCATTGCAGTCTGTTGTACATGGGTATAAACATCACCGTAACGTAACAGCACAGCGATGTCGGATTGCAGATGAGATATCATAGAGATGTAATTCTTGTGGAGAGCACCGGATAGAAATGTGAGTTTTCGGCTTCAGAAAGATTAATACTCATGTTGTATGCTAGTAATTGATATGCATTCTCGTTGTCGCGTTGTCGAATTTTGCCAAGTTCTTGTCCTATGCGAATCTTTCCACCTTCTCCTACATGTCCATCGTTTTGGAATAACATTTTGTACATAATATTCGGGGTCATCTGCTCAATCAGGGTAGCCATTACAGCGGGAGATAAGGAATTGATTGTCAAGCGTTGAGCCCCTCCTAACTCGTCGGACTTCCAGGCTCGTTCAACATTTTCGGCGGTGACAGGCTTCGATTCGTAGTAGGATATTTCACCTTGCTCCTCGGACAATAAAATCACAGCAAGTTTCATAACCCAAAGCTTGTAGTTTTCACGGCAGTTGAGTTTGCTCTCCAATGTACACTTGGTGTTCATGTTGAAACTTTTGAGCAGAGTAGCGGACCTGATAAGATATTAGACTGTCAATTATAAGTCCTTAGAAGAAGTGCTTTATTATTGTGCCTGCTCAAGGCTTTAAAGCTAAACTAACTGATTATTTCTGTCGTGATTAATTAATGAACAGGGAAAAAACCCTTACAAGGAAAACCCCATTTACATTCTATTCTATGTTAACCAATATATGCTCCGTATAGTTTTACTACGCTTATATATCGGACTCTCATTGATGACCTATTAATAATCCTACATCGCGGACCAGCTGCCCAGCTACAATCGATATCGATTTGTGTAAACTACAGGAAATTCACAAATCCATAAACTGAGAGACTGTAAAATAGTACTAGAATACTGTAAAATGATTGCGAATCTCGTGCGACCCATAGATAAGCCATGTCAAAATAACAATTCAATCGGTGGTTGTTGTCATACGTAGGAGTGACCTAACCCAGGAATGGCTTATTAGAGATAAGATCATACCAAATATGTGATGAAAATAAAGAGACACGAAAGGCTACATCATTGGTTCAGGATGCATAATAAATATCACGTTAGATTGTTGTCTATCTGCATTATACAACGTGCAGCAAAGTCATTGTTTGATATCACAACCTTGCGTCGGCAGCATACAAAATTGCATACTTGCATTGTACTGTACGTACCAAATTTTCGATATGTGGTAATATTTTTCTATACAATCATCTGGCTAATTGACGCTCAAATCTTTGCGAGAACATTCTGCCTTGACGATATCCAAAACTACCATATCATACAAGGTCAATACGCGGATACAAAATAAATTACCACTTGACGGGGTTATACTAGCTGAGGATTCTCGAGAACAGTCGATATAAGAGGCTCGGTTGTTGGTGTTGCTGTGTACAGCTGTATATCCCGCAAAGATTAACCTTGCCTATAGCTGATGCGGAAATTTGATTTAACTGTACACCCTCAAAATTAAGAAACGGGCACAGTGGGAGTCTGATACATGGGTCGGGTTTCCTAACATTGAACAACCGAAATGTGTTCGAATGTATCAAAGAGTTTGAAAAATCATCACATATGCCAACTAGCCTGCTATATGAAGGAATAGATATGAATATGAAGGAAAAGATATAAACATGCCATCCAGTCTAATGTATGAAGGCGGATTATATACAAAAGCAGATGGTGCTGAACAGAGGGAACACCTTTCTTCTGTGTGCTAATCAAAAATAATATTCTGAAAGCTCATTCGATCTGGTGCGAGATAGTGACCGACATAAAAGGCTATGTATGGCAGTACACATGCCGCGAATGGGAGCAGTGAGGTGATTGGTATCTAAAATCTCGTGGCCATACAAAGCTTACATACGCAGACACACCGCAACAGCTACAAAATACGCATGCTATGGAATTCCAACTTTTCGGGTTGAAACCAGCACTACACATTTTTCTCGTGCACTTTGATCGAAAACAAAATATGAAAGCTCATTCGATCTTGTGCAAAATAGTAATCGACATATGACCTGGCATATATAGTTACACACATGCTATGAACTTAACTTTTCGGGTTGAAACGAGTGCTATACAACTATTTTGCTCGTTTTGATCGAAAACAAATAAAATAGCAGCCAATACATGACTGCCACATACAGTCAGCGAAAGGGATCGGGGAGGCCGTTGGTACCATGTAAAGGCTATATATGCAGACGACACCGCAACAGCTGCAGAACATCGCATGCTCTAGTATTTGAGACTTCCGGTTTGGGCCCTGTATAATACATTATCGATGAAAGTGTTGGTATTGAGACTTGGTATTTTCATTCAAAGCCCCAAAAATGATAGCTGACGATTCGATGAATTTTAGAAATCTTGCAATAGTTCCGCTGTTGCGATTATTTATTCAAGTCTCAAGTACTAGTGACACCAACATACTCGTACCGATAATATAGATATTGCAAAGCTTTGCGTTCTCATTTTGATATCGATTTATTATCTCTGATCCTGCTTCTAATTATAATATGTACATGTATACAGTTCTATGCGTCTGATGTAATTTCGCTGGGCAAAATTCTATGCCGATTTTGCGCAAAGTATTCAGTCCTCATCATCGCTTTCATCGTTGTCTTGCTCTGCTTCTTCTGGAATATCTTCAGCGTCTACATCTGCCTCGGCATCTTCCTCGTCACCACCTCTTTTCGATTCCTCAGCCTTGCGTTCCTTCTTTTCTCGAAACACTGATTAGAATACCAAAGATACGGATTTGTGAGAAGAGAAAGTCAACAGTACGTAACTGTATTCTGTGTTGCTCAACCACTGTGAAGCGTAAATGTACAACAATGAATGATGCGCGCATATTATAACTTCACGTGCAAATAAGGTGGAACATACTTTTCAGGCTTTCCTCAAGCACCGGTTTAAAATCTTCGAATTCTAGTTCCTCCATAGCATTGATCACATCCATACCGCTGATTGTCTTGCGCTTATTCCTGATCGTCTCTTCATTTGCACTGTTTAAAACAAATCAATATTGACCGGCGATTTGTTTGCAAGATACATCTCAGATGTGTTGACAGTCGAAAGAGACAAGGGAAGCCAAAATGGGAACTCTTGTAGGCATATCTCAGGAATTGTGGAATATTACAGATGTTGCCCCGAACAGAGAACAGTTTGCATTCGAAGCCAATCATTGTGTGATATGAAGTATATATAAGCATAGACCTTGTTCCAAAGGCTATGATACTGGACGATAAATTTGAATATTGTCTAATTAATCTGCGATTGGGACGCGCAATCATACCAGATGAAGCACCACTCGAGAAAAAAAACTACACAAAAATCACAATTACAGAGGTGAACGGGTCGTATATGCCCGACACTAAACAATGTATAGCACCAACAATTGTATAATACAAAAATCTGGAAGAAAGAATATAATCGAGTGCACACTTTTAAGCTGGATGGTGCTTGGCCAGCTTTCTACTAAACTCTCGCGCGCTCCACATGTTAAGTACAATACAAAAATCTAGAAGGACGAAGATAATCGAGTGCACACTTTTAAGCTGGACGGTGCTTGGCCAGCTTTCTATTAAACTCTCGCGCGCTCCACATGTTGAGCACAGTGCCAGTGAGGAATAGGGAGAGGCTAAAGTGGACGGTGAAATCTGAATTATGCGCTAAGATCTCAAGTGGGCCAGGGATATTTCCTGGTAGTGGCCGACACACCCGCCTAGTCGGAGGACTCGAATAGAAGATTGCATAATTTTCAAATGTAAATACTTATATCCAACGAAATTTTCCCAGTCGGACATGCGCAGAACGAAAATGAGTTGAATATTAACGGGTCATGACGACAACTGACAGATGCAATATTCACTCAAGTATATACGAAAAGACGCAGGATCGAGTCGCATGGGCGCACGAATCGCTATAATATCAATTTAAACTACTACGAATAAATCGAACTGCCAGTACAGCTAACTCTTAGAATGTACCAACTTTTGACAATATACTTTATCGACGTTCCAATAAAATGGTTGCTGAATAGCAAATGAGCAAAGTGCCAAAGGCGAATCAAAGCGTGACATACTAGGTGGTTGCATGCACAATAAATTGAGTAGCAGCTTTCATCAGTGCCAGTTTGGCATCTTTCGCCACGGCTGCGCCTTCCGGAAGCTGTAATAAGGCACAAGCATGATAAGATACTACGTTATGAAGATTTCTCTAAGCCTCAGTATTCTCGATTAAAAAGTTCACTGAGCTTGGTATAAAGATCGTAGCTCATTCGTAAATACACGAAGACTTTTGTACAATTGTAAGAAATCATTGCGAAAAAAACAAAACAAGATACATCAACTTAAATATTGGCATGGGCGAGACAAAAAGAAAGGACGAAGTAAACAAATATGTGTACAGAACTACATGTAGACTCATGGCTTCGAGCCAGATTGCACAAATAATTATCATTTTCAACATAAATGACAGTAGTGATAATTTCCATTATAAGCATTGAACACAATTAGATGAATACAGGTACCATCTCCCACAAAACGGTATCAATACAATAGAAACAGGAACAACCCCACGCAAGAAAACAGTAGATACGACACATCAATACATATCGACAACATAGACAGGTATACGAAATAGAATATATTAACATTAACATAAACAAGACTATATTCATATGAATATAGATATAAATACAGGAATCTATATCTATATGTATATCTATATATATATATATATACATATATATATATATATATGTATATATATATATATATATACAGACACACAGACACAGACACAGACATAGACACACTATTATATATATATA